CAGAAATGCGTAGCCAAGAGGAAAAAATAGAGAATTCTTATTAAAATTTCTCTACCCTTTAACACCCAGGTGAAATTAGTGGGCCCTGAGCTCCCAAGTGGCTGGTCCAGCAAATGGGGAAAACAGGCTCCAACCTGCTCCAGTCTGCTTTGAGAGATCTGTTGAAAATGGCAATTGAAATTCCCTTTCTAGTAGAACTGTTCATTCCCTACCTCCCTCTCCTTTTTCCAGTTCACATCTCTACACTGACGATGTCATCTGGTAGGTCTATATTCGTGACAGAACTTGTCCCATCCAATTATACCTATGCAACTCCTCATATCCTGCTATTACGATGCTGGATGACACCACGGAGGAACCAGAAGTGACTGCCCTTTTTCTGTCCAACTTCTCTAATTCATAATGCCATAAATCTCCACAACGTTCTCTTTGAAGAAAAACAGCTGAAACTCATCTCAAAGCCTCAAGAGAAAGAGGTCTACTTTCTGTGAACCACATAAAGGAACTATGCTGTTTCAGAGATCAATGCAACTATCTATCTTGGACTCTTTTATCATTATTGAAGTTGTAAAACAAACACTCTTGTATAAATGGCAAACATAGGATGCTTGTTTCCACTGCTTGTAAACTGGCATATTTCTGGTTCTTAAATAACTTTGTTCAAAAATAAATCCCATTTTTTGGCTAAGAAAAAACCTTCTCAAAAGCCAGTTAACTATTTACTGCAAAAGATGCAAAAGATGCCATAGATTGTACACTTATTCTGCCTTAGCAGTTCAAATACTTTACCTCCAATGCCTCATTTCTCTCTCATCTTCTCCAAGTATTCCAAGTAAGTAACTGAACTGCACTCAGTTTTAGTAAGAAGCACTTGTTAAAGTTGTCCCACACAGGTTTAGAGTAATGTAATGGACCTTGGCTATGTCAAGATGGGATTGCCTCTAGGAGCCCAAGCACAGCTAAGGAGATTTGGCCAGCAGCTTGCCACGAGTCACTGTGTGATCTGCTCTGTCCCAGGATTTGTGCTCCAGCAGAACCAAATCCTTCTCTGACATGATTACACAGATCTGTACTGGTGTTGGATTTGGCCCATATGTCACAATAAAGAAATGGCATTGCTGGAATGGGGCTGCTCTTTCTGAGAGTGACAAGAAGGGGTGCAAGGTGACAATGGAGATGACAAAACTTGGTGGTTATGCAGGAAGAAATTGATGTCTCCAGGAGTGAGATAGGGCCAGGGCCTCTAGGCATGTGAAGTAATCACCCGGAAAAGAAGCAAGACATGGGAAAGGATTTTGATGCCCCATCATGACACAAAAGCCAAGAGAGCAGATGTGACACTTGCTAGCAACCAACAACACCACAGGAAGAAGAGAAAAGTTTTCTCTTTTTGTCACTTCCTCGAGGTTGTCATTACCAGATCCTGTAACCATTTCTCAAAACCTTACTACAGAAATTCACAAATGCAAGTGGTTCAAAAGTAATGAAAATCTCCCTTACTGTGAGCACTTAAAGATCAACCTTTCTACCTCAAAGGTAGGGCACAGAGGAGAGTAAATCTCTCCCTGAGACTGCCTACATGGAGAGGAAAATCTCCAGGCATTAGAGATTCTTCTGCAGGCTGCAAATATCCTGGACTTTAAAATGAGACAAACTGAAACAGGGCACAGAGTGCTAAACTGCACCATTTGAAACAACTTATGCAGCAAATATGCCATTCCTGCAAGTCTTGTAATCAATACTGCTGTCATAGAGAATAGCTCACTCAGAAATTAAATGCCAAATGAAGGACTCCATGAAATCCTATGCCCTGTATTATCTAAGATAGAGTAGATGATTGTAAGAGTCCCCTCGGGTCTTAAAAAATCTATGAGTGTCGTTAAAAGGATATGCACTTCGAGAAGCTAAGAATGAAGTCCTTAGAATTTTCAGGAACGTGCTTTCCTTGCAGGTTTTGCCTGAAGAAAGACTAAATGATGTAGCCTAGAACTGGAAATTAAGTTGCAAAAGTATCAAGGAGCAAGCTCCCGAAAGATCAAACTTCCTGCTGATCTAATATTTTCCTTAATTCTAAGTGAAAGCATATACAGCCAATGGATGAACTTCAGTTTCTGAAGAAGGCTAAAAACGTCTTGACAGGAACATGGAGAGGAGATCAGCACCTCTGCAAGCACATCTTGTGACACAAAGGCATTGGTCACGTCCAGATTTACACCAAGGCTCTACAGAAATACATTCTTTGAGGCTTTCTGGCTTTGATGCCCAGTTTAACTATGTGAGAGATGTGGCATTGCAACACCTTTCTGAAGCCTGGGGTCTGGATTGCATGTCCTGCTCTGCTCAGCCTCCTTTACTAACAAGACTTTGTCACTCTGAATTTTGGGAGGTTTTTACAACATAGGGTTCCAAAATAATGTGTTGTCCAGTCATTCTTGTTTCCTCAGACGACTTTTTCTCCATTGCTGGAGTGAACCATATAGCAGCACACAAAACACCAGGCATTCCCACTAAACTCACGCTATATGACTCAGTATCGCAAATATTTTCCAAGTGTATCATTTCAGGTAGCAGTTTCAATCACTGGGAACAGAGTTGAGCTTCTTCCTGAAATCATATTTGATTCAGTAAAGAGTGATTTCAGTAGCTTCAGTCTAGGAACATCTCTGCCATTTACAGCAGAACTCTGCACCCCTTCTGTACATCTTCAACCAGTGTCAGGACTTGAAAACCACATTTTTTCAGGTGGACCAAGCCCAAACTGCCAATACCAAGCAGGTCTTCAGTTTGGATCTCTTAAGCACATGGTGGGCAGGAAATGTAATGGGATTATATGTATGAGCACTGCATAATTACTGAATAAACCTAACAGCAGTTTGTCACTCTGTGCTGCCCTTGGGAAGCAGTAACTTGATTTTCTTACACTCTCTGTTTGAGAAATCCCTGTCCTCTCGCCCTCCCCCCAGTGAGCATCTCTTTGCATTCTTCTTTGAGCAAATCTGCCCTGAATCAGAACTTTTATCTGGCTTTGCACTAATTCTGCACACACAGCACTGATACCTGCGGTGTTTTAAGTTCTCTCAGTGTCCTCCTGGTAGTCAGGAAAATGCTGTTGTGGAAATTAGCCTATAAGGTGAACACGTGGCGGAGAGGATATGACCAGTCTGTTTCAAATCCTGGACTTAAAGTTTTTTTAAAAATAATTTGCTAGGAAATTGTCATTTAATTCCTGTGCTTTAGTTTTTAATTGTATGAGCTTAGAAGGAAATAGAGTTTAGTTTAAGCTAAATTGCTGTTACCTTCCAACGTAGCTGAACATAGTCCCTGAGCTACAATAAAAATAATAAACACGAGCAGCTATTGATAAAAGGAATTGAAGATTAAAGGTCGGATATCCTGTCCTCCGCTTTGTGCCGACAAACCGCCCTGCCTGTGCTTTGTCGTCACGGCCGCCTACCACTCCTTAAGCCCTAAGCAAGTCGTGATGTGTCGCAGGCACATTTTTGAGGACAGCCCAGCACAACCTTGAGCCAAAGCGAGTCGCCAGCACCTCCCGAGCCGGGAGGTGCCGGGAGGGTGTCAGCACACACACAGCTCATTAAAAGCGGATTAGGTGACGAGCTCCTCAAACAGACCAACGCTGCTGGAAAAGAATGGCTTCTAACTACGGGAACTGGCAGAGAGAGGGGCACCGGGCTGCCTATTTTGGAAAGCTGGGGTTTCGGTGCTGTGTGTGTGTGGAGCTAGACTTGCTTCGGCAGTTCCTCTTAATGGACTCGAGCAGAAGAATTAGCACCAGTAAAGGCGTTAGGGGTTATTTGGTGACAGCATGTGGAGGCTGAATAAAAAGGTATGCCAGGCACGAAAAGTTAGAAGCACTGATTAAATATTAAAAATGAATTAATTATTTTTTTTTTTTAATCCGATGCAGCTTTCACTGTTAGCTACTAGGTTCCTCTCCCCCAAACATTAGACGAAATTGCATTGTTTACAAAAATTTATTAATACAAACTTTACACACTTTGTATAACAGTTATCAAAGTCCTAGTTATAGATATCATGTGTGTAATAATACTTTGCTGCAGTTCTTTTTATATTCATTCGCACACAAAATAAGTTCTCCAAGACTAACATCTACCTAAACTAGCACTGTATCTCAAATCTGCTCAAGTTTTGGTAAGGCTGTTGGCGTTTCTAAAAAGTACACAGAGGATAACCTAGGCGGTCACTTCATGATGCTTGCAGCTAGCCACTGAACTCGAACGGCTAAGGTCAGAAAGAAAACGTCAAGAGAGCCCTAGGTCATTATACCACAGCCGACACAAACACAGCAAACTCTGCCCATTGCCACAGAACAGAAGACAGAAGTACGACTAAAAACGCAAGCCGATGTGTTGCAGCATCGTAGGGCCACTAGATAGCCATCCGTCAACTCGTGGCGATTTACAAGGTGAAGAGAAGGCACCAAAGCTGCAAACTGCGCCCCGCGGCCCCCGGCCCCAGGAACCCAGACGGGGCGGGCAGCCCGGGCGGCAACACCCGGACCCCCCCGGAGCTCTGCCCGGGGCCGGGGCTGTCCCCGGGGGAGGTTTTGCCCGAGGCTTTTTTTTTTTTTTTCCTTTTTTTTTTTTTTTTTTTTTGGGTGGGGGAGGATGAGGGATGTTGTTTTCGCAAGCAATCGACGGCTCGAATTCGGGGCTGGTTTGTTTGTTCTTTTTTTTTTTTTTTTTTTTTTTTTTTTTTTTTTTTGGTGGCTTTGGAAAGACTCCTGTAAGGTTTGTGTGGTGAGCTGGAAGGAAGGAAGCGATACCTACGTGTCCTCCTCCGCCACCTGCCTTCGGGCAGGGAGGGGGCGAGCCCCCCCGGCCGGGATCGCCGCTGCCGACGGTCCCCCGGGTGCAAGGTAAGATAGGAGTCCGTACATAGAGAGATGAGGTGAAAATGGTTTATCTCGTTAGAAACCGGACCACAGGTGAACACTACACATTGTTGTATGACAAAAGTTCGTTTTATGAAATAAATTTTACTAAGCAATAAGCCAGAATGTAGAAAAATACATTTTACCTCCAAACTCAATAAACAAGGAACAAAAACTTTAGTAGTAGTGCATAATTCTTTAGTGGTAGCTACAACAGGGGTTCCTAAACTTTTACAATAAGAGCTTGCATAAAACAGAACAAAGGAGTGAGAGAGCGTTCACAATCTTTTTTTTTTTTTTTCCCCAAAAAAAGAACATAACCCCAAAAAATAACTTAAAAAAAAAGGTGACTCGGGTGGGTTAAACGGTGCTTGGAAAAGTGCGAAGAAAGGATGAGAGGCGGGAGGGTCTATAAGAAAAATAACAGTAATAATAATAATAATAATAATAATAATAATAACAACAGTCAAAGAAAAGAGCAACTCCGACCGAAAAAATGCAAAGGCGAGAACCCTGCTCATTTACACACGATGAGAAGCATGGACAGCACTGGAGAGTAACACACTGTACTTTGCATCCAGGTCCAGTACCGAGCTGCCCGAGGCAGTTGGGTAGCGGATCGGAGGGGGGGTCGCCTCTGGCCCCCCGGCCCCTTGGGGCCACCCCCGCTCACGTCCCCGCTGGTCCCTCAAAGGGTCCTGGCTCCGCTCTGCCCCGCAGCCCTGCCCGGCCGGCCACAAGAGCACTGCGCGGGGCTGGGTGCTCGCTATCCTTGCTTCGGGGGTCGTTGGGGTTTTAGGTTTTTTTTGTTTGTTTGTTTGTTTTTTGGTCTTGAGTTTTGGTTTTGGTTTTCTTTTTTTTTTTTTTTTTTTTTTTTTTACTGTTCTCCCTCCAATAGTCAACAGAGATGTGCACAATTTGGATCGAGCTGTTGTTTTCGAGTGGGAATTGTCCTCTAAGCTCATTGTTTGAGGAGACGCTAATAAAGATACGACTGGAATCAAAGAAAGCAGGAAGAATAAAACTAAAAAATCGAAATCTAGAGCAAAGGGGACGCTGCCCCTTCAGAGAGCTAGTGGCAAAGGAGCCTGCCTTGAGACTCACCGGGGGAAGAATCTGCTTCAGCAATTCTCCCAAATCATTTTCCTCAAAATCCCCTGGGAGCAGGGCATCCTTCTCTATGTACAGTAGCAAATGGTGAAAATTAATGTTTCGACCCTGTCGCGGATAAAAATACTATCCTTTTAATTTCCGTTACAAAAATAGGAGTAATATTCAAAACAATGATTGTCTTTTTTTTTCTATTTATTTTATATAAAAACATAAACAGCTCAGGCGAATTCTTGTTCTTGTGCAGGCTTTATATGAAGAATTGTTCTTTAGTATTCGTAGTAGTATTTATATATATATATTTATATATTATATATAACTTAAGGATTGGTCCACAAAGTAGATCTGTGCGTTTCTCTAGTGCTTTTGTACAAAAGAAAAACAATATTATTATCAAAATATTCATTTAATGGCTTTACTTCATACATAAATACATGTTTAGATAACACAGGAGCGGTGATTGTTCAGTCAGTTTGGAAATGACTTTTGTTTTTGTTTAGATTTTTTTTGTTGGTGGTGGGTTTCTCTCTCTCTCTCTCTCTCTCTCTCTCTCTTTCTCTCTCTCTCTCTCTCTCTCTCAGGACTTTGTATACACGGGAGGGGCTGGTTACTCATCGCTACAAATACGCTACTCGGCGTCCTTTGTTTTTAACTCTTTGTTTATACCTTTTCCCCAGGACGGCCGCTAAGTATTTCTTGACAGCCATTTGTTTCCGGTAGCGGCTGTAGCTGTCCGTGAAGATGCCGTCTATGTGCCGCTTGGTGAGCGGTTCCGCCTCGTCCCCCAGGCCGCTGCTGGCACCGCTGCAAGCACCGAGAAGCACAGCTCCATCAGCACAGCATCATCACCACCAACCAGCACAGCTCCATCACCAGCACAGCATCACCAGCACAGCTCCATCACCGGCGTAGCATCACCAGCACAGCATCACCAGCACAACTCCATCACCAGCACAGCTCTACCACCAGCATAGCATCACCAGCACAGCATCATCACCAGCACAGCATCATCACCACCAGCACATCTCCACCAGCACATCTCCATCAGCCCAGCTCCACCACCAGCCCAGCTCCGCCCCGCTCCGCGCCCCTCCGCGCCCCCCGGCCCCGAGCCGCCTCTCCCGGGGGCGCAGCGCGGCGGCTCCGCGGGCAGACAAAGGCAACGGCCCCGGCCATGCATTATTCATCCAGCCGAGGAAATGTCACCTCCCGCGGGGGGCATCTCGCCGGCCCTGCCCCACCAGCCGCCGCCGCCACGGAGCGCCCCGGGGGTTCGCCCCGCCGCGTCCCCCCCTGGGGACACCGCTTCCCACGGGGGACCGGGGACGGAGGGGGGGGGATAAGAAGGGGCATGCCCAACTTCTCGGCGTGAAACCCAAATAAAATAATGGTAACTGGGGGAAAGGAAGACGGATCTAAACGCACATATGCGCGCACGGGCGTGTTACACCGAGGAAACCTCCCGTCACGCCGGCGCTGGAGCCGGGTTTCCGCTGCTCCGGGAGCTCCCCGGCAGCCGTGGCCGGGGGCTGAGGCTCGGGGTGCCCCCTGTACACCCCCACATCCCCCCACGTCCCCCCCAACCCAGCCCCGCCGCCGGCGCAAGGCATCCCCAGCGGCGGCCCGATGCGCTTTGTTCCCTCCAGCGCCCACCAACGCCCACCGCGGGGAAAAGAGCGAGCGGAAAGCCTTACCCGACCCGCTTGGCCATCAGAGAGTGCAGATATTTCCTGGCGGACAACTGGCCCAGGAGTTTCCTGTAGGCTTTGTTGAAGATCCCATCGGCGTGCCTGGGGCCGGAGGGAAGAGCCCCCGGGTGAGCGGCGACACCCCCGGCCTTCCCCGCCGGCTGCGGGGGGCGGCTTCTCCCCGAGCCCCCCGGGACCCCCCTTCCCCACCCGCAGCCCTCCAGGAGGTAAGGCTGCGCCCCCATTTCTTCTGGCCGCCGGGACCCCGGCAGGTGGTCGTTAGATTGGGTTTGGGTTTATTTTTTTATTTTTTTTTCTAATTTCTGGAGGCTTGGTGGTGATTTTTTTTTTGTCCTCCAGTCGGCTCGGACAAACCCGGCTCGAAATTGTCGCCTGCCACCCCGCGAGCTGCGGTCACCTTTTTTCCGGTGGGTAGTACAAGGTGTACACCTCGCCCAGCACAGAGGACGGACTCGCTATCCCCAGGGGCTCGTGGTCGTAGGCGAAGTCCTGCAGAGTGTTCCCGTCCTCGTCGTAGACTTCATCCTCCAGCCTGGCAACGAGAGCAGCAGGGGGAAGGAGTCAGCTCCCTTCGTGCCTTCCCCGGCGGAGCCCACCCGCTCCCCCCGCCCCATCCCCGTCCAGCCTCTGCGGGGCAGGACCACGAGGGACGGAGCACGCCGAGCTCGGGGAAAATCCTCCGGCATCCCCTTTTTTCCCCCCTCCCCAGGCCCGAGGAGCAGCCTCCCCTCTGCCGGGAGCTGGGAGCCTGGTGCCTCCCGAGCGGAGCGCACGCACGCACGGGCAGCACCCGCACACCCACCCGCACACCCACCCGCACACCCACCCGCACACCCACCCGCACACACACACACACACGGCCGTGTGCCAGGGGCTGGCCGGGAGCCTGAAGCATCCCCGACGGGGATCGGGAGGTCAGAGGCAGCCCCTCGGGGGCTGCGCCCCGCTCCTCCCCGTAGCGCCCGCGGGCTGGGGTGGGGCTTGCGCCCGCTGCTGCTTTTCGTTGAATGGTGGCTCTGCCCTTTGAGGTCCCTCCGGTTCGGTGTCCCCCCCCCCCTTCAGCCTCCCCACCCCCCTAAGCCCTCCCCGCCTCTCTCTCTGCAGTACGATGTAGGTCATCGTACGATACAGGCAGCTATTTTTGTCTGCCAGCTTTAGCGGAGGTATTAATAATAGATGCCGCTAAAGTGTTTCGCTCCTGCTAATTCAGGCGCTTGAATGGAGGGGAGCCAGCTTGCCGCCGGCTAATGGCCCCGCAGGCCACCGAGCCCACTGCCCTGCCGCCCTTCTGCCCGGGGAGGGGAAGGGGCTGCTCTGGGCCAGCCCCGACGGGCTCCCGGCTCCTGCCAGGACACCTCGGAGCCCCCCAAAGGACACCCCGTAAAGGGCACCCTCCCGGGCCAGCCTTGCGCACCCTCCCACAGCCGAGCAGCGAGGCGGGGGTGCCCCGCAGGGCCCCCCGCCCCCGGAGCAAAACCGAGCCCGGGGGGGTTTGGGGGGGAAAGGACGGCAGCAGCGAGCCCACAGCTCCCCCCCGAGCCCCCTGAGCAGGGTGGGACCGGGCTGCTGGGAGCCGTCCCGAGGCCGGCGCGCATCCCACGGGGGGACCCCGCTGCTGCCCCAAATGCCTCCGGGGGGGTCCGAGCACCCCCGGCACAAGCCGAGAGGGGTGGCACAGGCACCGGCCCGCGATGCCGAGTAGACGGATAAGGAGAGGAAACCGCGACACCTCGGCAGCCGCCTTCCCCCACGAGAAGGGAGGTGGCACAAAGACAGGTAAATAGGGGAAAGGACCGAAACCCTGCAAACTCCGCTGACACCACACGAGCCACAGCAGCTCTCGCACGCCAGCAGGCGACGGCGCACCCTGCCGCCCCCAGCCCCCGGCAGGGCAGGGATGCTCGCCGCTCCCCCGGCCGGCTGCAGACAACTAAAACTGCCAGGGTACTGGGGGAGGCAACTCCCCACCCCCTCCTCTCCCGGTCCCTGGGGACAAGAGGCTCCCCGGAGAAGTTAGTGCTGCAGCCGGGGGGCAACCCGCTGCCTGTCCCATCAGCACAGCATCCGCCCAACTTGTCCCCCCCGGCGCTTACAGCCCTACCAGGGTCTCCTCTCCCAGGACGGAGGGGGTGGGCGCGCAGGAGAAGAGGAGGGGGTTTCTTTTGCTGTCTCTCCCCCCCTCCCTTCTTAATTCGTCCCCCTTCCCTTAGCAAGAGCAGAGAGCCCCGGGGCGGGGGCCGGACCCACCTGAGCGCCGGGTACTGAAGTCCAGCCGCAGGTGAGCAGTAGACGCTGCAATGCATTATTATGCCATAGACCAGGAGTGCTAGGATCGCTTTGCTACACATTGCCACTCTGTGCGGGAGGGAAAGGAAAACCGCTGTCAAAAAATAAAAAAAAAAAAAATAAAAAAAATATATAAAAAAATAAAAATTATATATAAAAATATAAAAATAAAAAATTGCCCACGACCCACCAAGCCCTGGCCGAGCCCGCGGGGAAAGGATGCTCGGCAGCGGAGCGGCGCGGAGCGGGGAGCGGCTCGGAGCGGTGCCGCCGCCGCCCGCCCCGTCGGTGCCCGCCCGCCCGCCCGCCCCGGGACCGCGGCGGGGAGGCCCGGCGAGCCGCCTCGTGTCCTTACCATCAAACTCTAAACACCCGGCACTAAGAGCGTTTGGCTGCGAAACTAAAAGGGCAGGTCTTTAAGAAAAAAATATATAGAAAAAGAAAAAAAAAAAGAAAAACCCAAAATAGGGGGGAAAAAAATAGTGCTGTCTCCCAAGTTGCGGCCGAAAGGAGTTAAAACGCTCGTGGCATCGCCTCTCCGATGGGCGAAGGACCCGCGGGGTGAAGACGCCGCCAAAGCAGCAGTGAGTTGTGTGCTGGTTTTAGGGGGATCTGCTCCAAAAAGAAGAAAAAAAATAAGAAAAAAAAAAAAGCGAAAAGGAAAAAAATATATATTCAAAAAAAAAAGTTTGCAGGTAGCAGCACGGATCTGGAGTGGAGTCTGCGAGGGAAGGGAGAGGAGGGATGGATGGAGCGAGGTGTCGCCGGAGAAGGGAGCGCAGGGGAAGGGGGAAGAGAGCGAGCGAGCCCGGGAGGGAGCGGAGGCGGGGAGCCGCGGGCTGGCTGCGTGAGCTGTTGTCTTTCCCAGCTCTCTCCCCTCACTGAGCGCCTTCTCAGCCTTCTCCTCTTCTTCTCTTCCTGCTCGGTGGCTCCAAACTTGACCAGCCTTCCGCAGCCTTCCGTCTGATACGCAATTAGCAACAAAATCTTTGCAAACACCCCGCTTCGGCAAGAGCCCTCTTCGTAAACATTTGCCTGCTCGTTACCTTAGAGGACGGGCAATATTGTTTGTTGCCCCCGTGGTGGTGTCCGGATTTTTATTCATGAATCAAATGCCTTTTTTTTTTTTTTTTTTTTTTTTTTTTTCCCCCGGTCACGTAATAATCGGGTATCAGAAAAGACGTCACCACCCCAATTCCTCAAGGAACACAGTTCTGTGTCGTCCTCAAAGATGAGCTTATCAGGAGTCATAAAGCTTCTCATAAACACCAACTCACGCTTCCCCAAAAAAAAAAAAAAAAAAGAGTTAAATAAATAAATAATAATAACAAGAAGAAAATAACACCCAGAAAACCCACCCCATCCCGCAAAGCCTTACGAGGGTGCTCGCCCGGGCCGAGCTGTACCTGCTGCGGGAAGGGGACGAGGGGCGGAGGAGGGCGGTGCGGGATGGGGGGGTCCCCTCTCCGCAGGGCCTCCTCACCCCCACGCGGGACCCCCACTTCCACGCGGATTTGGGGATAGAGAGGGTCTTTTTTTTTTTTTTTTCCCCTTCGTATATATATATTTTTTTTGGAGGGCTATTGGGAGTGTTGTTGTCATTACACAAGGCTCCCTCCTCGGGGGCGACCAGCGGTGCCGTGACCGCGTGTGCTGCTACCGTGGGGGGCTCCACGCGTGGGGGAGCTCGGGACCCTCCCTTCCCATCCTTGTGCAGGGGCAGTGCGGGAGGGGAGAAGATTAAGGGGAAAAAAAAGAGGGGGTGAAATAAAATAAAAGAAACAAAAGGGGGGGTGAAATTAAAAAAAAAAAAAAAAGCCAAGAAAGTTGACTTGCGGGAGGGACCGGGAGGGAAATCCCTTCCCCGGGGAGTTCCCCGCCGCCGGGGTTATTTCCCCCCCGAGCAGGGATGCGGGAGGCGAGCTCTGGGCAAGGACCCTGAGGGGTTCCTGGCCCCGCAGCAGCAGCGCTCAGCTTCCCCTGAGCCCAAAGCGGGCCCTTCATTTCCGAGAACTGCCCCGAGAAGCAGAAGCTGGCTGCAGGAGCCATTACTGCACATTTTAATTATTGGGATCATAAGCAGAGAGTTCAGGAAGCAGCAATAATTTACTTCTCCTGTTTCCTAGTTGAATGGTTTCGGTGTAACGTGCTTAGCCGAGTTATTTGAGCCCAAATCGATTTCTCAAAAAAAAAAAAAAAAAGAGAGAGAGAGAGAAAGAAAAGAAAAAACAACAACAACAAAAGGCACGCCGTACAATTACGTCCCTATTATGCTCATTTACAGCCGCAACATTTTTCCGGAGAAGAAGGAAATTTAGCGTGAATGAATTATCCCCTTCCAAAAGGGCCAGGGACGCGGTGTCGGGGCGGGGGGACGGGGGCCGCACTTCGCCACCGGGCGGGCTGGAGACGGCGGGGGACCCCAGGGGGGGCGAGCAAGAAAGAAACGACACCGGGAGAGGAGAGGGGGGGCGGCCCCACGGCTCCCGGGGGGGGTCACCGGGGGCTTCCCCGCCGGCGGCCGCTCCGCGGGGCGCGGAGCCGGGGAGCTGCGGGCGCTGCGCCAGCGCGCATCGTCCGTGGGCGCACGGCGCCACCGCGCGGGCAGCTCCGCGCCTGCCGCCGCCGCCGTCGGTGGGACCGGGGGTCCCCGCTCCGGGGGCTGGGGAAGGCTCGGGGGAGCCCCCCAGCCACCGCCGAAGCCCCCGGTCCCGGCTCTGAAAGGGGATTGCCCGGGAGGGGATGTTGGGGGAACCTCGCTCGTTGCCGGAGATGGGTTTGTTGGGGGGGTGGGGGGTGGGTTTAGGTTTAGTTTGTTGGTTTTGTGCCCTTCTGAACTGATTCTGCGACAGTGGTGTTAAAAAAAAATACAAAAAATAAGAATTTGAAAAAAGGTTTTTATGGAAACAAGCGTGGCTGGGGTTAGGTGGGTATCTTGTCTTTGCAGACTCTGCGTAAAGAATAGGAAAGGCTCTCTCTTTCCAAAGAGATGAGAATCGCGGAGAATACATTTTAAGGCTGTGGCTGTTTTCACTTTGCTTTTTTTGCCACTTTTTATTTACACTGCCTCATTCCCTCTCCTCCCTCCCCCCTGCTCCCCCGGTTCCTTCCAGAAAGTGCCAGGATGCCCGAAATCCCGGGCATCGGCATCGCAGCGTTACCACTTCAAGGGTCCTGAAGCTCCGGAGTGGCCCGGTGCCGTCCCTGGTGTTACTGTGCACGCAGGAGTGATGCCAGGACAGTTCGCAAAAATACGGCTTCTAGACACTCATTTAGGGCGAGTGAGTAACTCACAAATGATTCATGCCAATAAAAGTCTCATCACATCTCGGTGTACTTCATGGGTGTGTGCACGCAACGTGAATATGCAGACAACATGAACGCGGCTTAGGCTGAATAAAGAAAGGTTTAAATCTGGCCTCCACGTAGAAGCAAATTTCTAGATAACTGTGTAATTTCAGGGCTGAGAGGGATTTGGCATTTGTAATGCTTGCCTCTAAGGCAAATTCCTAAGGCAGCATCTGAAGGAAAGTAGGTTTTCACCAGCAGAATTTCCTTCATCTTTCTGCTATCAGCTTAAATTAGACCTTTTAATTTACCTGACTATGCTATTTTAAATATCTATTCTATTAACTAGAGCATTACAATTCTATAGATATTTCTAATGGAGCTTACTAGCTCCACTCTTGAGCCTTGTTAAGCCTGACTGGGACTGACTGCTCTAAAGCCTATTGCCAAATGTATAATTCAAAGAAACATATTTCATCATGCACCATGATGGGTATCTTATCCACTCTTCAGAGTCCTCCACTCCCCCCCCCCCCCATTTTTTTTTTTTTATATATATATATTTATGCAGATTTCTATAAAGAAACACCAAGAGCAATCCATCAAACTGTCGGGAACTTTATTGGTCCATAAAGCTGGATGATAGCTCGCACACACTTGTTGGAAGTGCAGCCACTCTGTCGACGTTTTTCTTCTGTGCATCCCACCTTAGCTGTGTGTTTTAAAAGGAATTTGGAAGACTGATGGACCTGGAATATGTAATTTTATCATGAAAGGTTATGCATTTTTCTGCCAATATAGAAAGGAATGAATTGTTCTTTCTCAAAAGCAAACAACCCTACCAACCCAGCTGCCTCTCTCTCACACACACACACACCTCTATGGGTTTCTGAGTTTCTCATCACTATCTTTCCCGTGGCCTCTTATACTACAGAGATGGCTTGGGCAATCCATTCCAAACCAGTCTGCTGATGAACTCTGTTCATATTGCATCAGCTTCACAATTGTAACGCTAGCCTTCATCTTGTCACAGCCCTCCAGCCTCCTCCTCCTCATGAGCTGGTGCCTGGGAAGGCACTTATGAAAGCTCCAGCATGGGAAGGTAGGGCTTGCTGGATATCTCAGCACTTCCAGCTGAGACCTGGTACCTGCGGTGGAGGCAGGAAAACCTCAGTTTCCTCATCGAGGTTAGATTGCAATAGGCTCAGAGACAAAAAATGCTTCATTTACAAAGATGGTTTCCTTTGGTTAAGCTGTCCCCTCTTGTGCTTTCTTCTGCAAGTAAGAGCACTGAGAAGAGTACAAACAGCAGTGTACTTCCCCACATCTGCCACAGACTCAAAGAGTAAAGCTGTTACCCTGAAAGTTTATTCACCTGGGGACATTTTGGGAAGGAGGTACAAACCACAGAAAAAAAATGAGAGCAATAACCAGGAACAGAACTGGGACTGCCACTCCAGAGACACATACAACAAAGGGCCTGAAGCACAAAAGCAGCCTAAAATCCCAGGAGGGAAGAGAAATGCATTGGCTGGACTGAGAGGGCTCACTTGCTGATGGAGTCCCTTGACAGGCTCTTCATGGGTGACCAGCAAGGGTTAGCTGCCAGCATCCCACAGCAAATTGTTTGGGAGGATTTTTCTGATAATTCCTTGTTGACTTTTATCACCTTACCTCCATTTCCAAGCAAACAGTTGAAACCCATTCTTAAGTATATTCTGAGAAAAAGGGCTGGTTTTTGTTTTTCTTTTCTTTTCTTTTCTGAAGTGATGAGCCACAACAGTATTTCTCAGGACAGCAGCGTGGGAGTACGGCGAGCGCAGTCATCCCACTCTTGTCCCTGTGTAGAGCTCATGGTGAGAGACAAAGGCAGTGGGCTGTCAGTGCCTTGCTAGACTGCCCACACAGGAGTTCAGTGCTTGACCTTACATGATGGGCGTCCTCCTCCCCTTTGCAGCAAACCCAGCCAGATGACTGCGACAACACTGATGCGAAGGAAGAGTCATTCCTAGCAAAACACAAAGGCAAGAAAAGTACTTTCTGCATTAACAAAAGACCTAACAGCGGACTTGGCTCCACAAGGAGGTGCCACCATGTTATGCGTGTGATGGCTAATTTCCTTGGATGAGCAATAGGTATATTTATAATCCCCCATTTTTCACCTGTGTAAATTCATATTCTATGAGGGAATAAAAGTATTGTTTTCCTTGCCTCTTTCTGACAATGGTTCTTTGATCAGTCATTTACGTTTCAACAGTGGAGAAATAAAGCACGAAAGTCAACAACATAAAGTCACCTTTTGAAGATTTAATATTCCAAGGGCCTACTCTGTGAGCCAGCAACCTACAAAATGTCACTGAAGGTCTAGCTAGTCCATGGGGTAGAATAAAAGCCCTCAGCAATGGCAGCAGACCCAGGCCTATTCCTTCCTCCCTATTTGGTCTAGTGTTCCGGGGAGAGTGAATCCTTGAACAGATTGAATATGCAAACTTTCACTGACTGCTGCTGAGCTACAATAATTTATACCAGACAAACAACAGCCACATTTTCTCTGTGTTCCAGGTTGCTTTTGCTGAAGCTGTAACCCAGCGTGAACGGCAAGTACCGGTTATGTACCCAAATGTGACGGAGTTTTGGGTACACCTTCAGAAACAGTGGGACTGCCTCATGTCTGCATCCAGAAACTAAAACCCATCTGTAGTTTTGAGGTATTGCTAATGGCATAGCTAAAGTTAT